CCCCCCCCCCCCCCCCCCCCCCCCCACCTTGCCCTCCCCCCTCAACAACGCTATACAACCTCGTTTGTAGCAATTTCCTTCTCAATCTCCTGAACCATTGCTGTGAACTGTCCGTTCAAGGGAATAAAATAGCCGATAACAAAGTTTCAGTTCATTTCTTCTCTTTGGAGCATTTTGAAGTTAACAATCAGCAAACATTCTGTAGGTGACAGAAAAAGGCTGCATTACCAGTTACTGTCAAGTAGAAAGTTCTGACATCATGCCGGAAAAGCTCGAACAATGACTACTGGGAAAACAAAAACCTGGCAATCAATACATGGATTTTTTTCTAGAAGTTCTGTGCGCTCCTTAAGCCTACTTGTCTTCAGGAAAAAAGGGAAGAACAACATTTTTTTCATTAAAAAAATTCCTACAAGTGACACAGATAGAGCAAAGTGCAATTCCTGTGCTCCTCATCAGCAACTCTGAGCACATACCTTTTGCGAATATTCCGATTGTGATTTCTGGACGACATTTATGATGTGCGAGATAATCTCCAAGCGTCAAGTGGGTGATAAGAGGGCTTACTTCTATGAGAATGTGTTGGGTTAGCTTGAACTGTATTTTCCGGTCACTCTTCTTGCTGCTTTTATTTCGGAAGTATTGGACGCTTACCCGAGTGGTTTGTATTAACAAATAAGTCAAATAACTTGTCGCTGAAAAAAATTACCGCACACTGGAAAGTGTCAGCATTGCACTGATACATTGAACACTGATAACAGACTGGTCAGAGACCTATTCGCACCAGGTGTCGTCTCCACATTGTTCCAGATAGCACATTATCAACGACTATTGGACTTCGAAAGCTCCGAATCTGCTTGTTCTATTTCATTTCTATCGATGAATAGTCAATAATTCAGTGCCATCACAATCGCTAGTGATAGAGTGAAAGGAAGGCCATTGGCAATACTCCAGTTCTCCTGCAAACTTCTAAGCTTGACTTACGCTTGCATTGGTTGGTGTTGAAGTCACCCATAGTTTTCAATCCGCTCCACTGTTCATTTGGAGACCCTGATTGGATTTCTTATTGACCTCATGAATTTTGTCAGGCAGTTATATTTATTTTGTATATGAGTCATGTATACGAACTTAGACTGTTTATTAAATTTTCCTTTAAATGAAGTTGCATATCTGAAGGTTTCCAAAAATCTCAGTTGATCTTTTGGATGTCGAATCCGGAATTCAAGGTCATTTTATCTTCTTAGAATTTTTCTTAAGAACTGACTCATTTCCTCGCTACATCATTCTCTTCAACGATATCTTATCCTGGGCGAGATTGAGCTCTAACAGGTCACCTGGTCTTCAATCCGAGCGTTTCGACCTTTTCGATGAATATGATTGGAATCTGATGGAAACGCAACTTGATTAGAAGCTCTTTGGTCGCCTTGTATACACCGTCTGTCCAGACCACGACCGCTTTTCCACCTCCGCTCATTTTAACGACTTTCCTTCGAGTTAAGTCTGGTTGCATACAGGTCTTCATTTAAATCTGTAAATCTTTCCCTGGTTTTCCATTCCTTCAGTTGAATAGTGTTTCTCTACAACGATCCTGGTAACTTTTCATCCTTGGAACTCTTTTTTTGGAATCTTCTTTGAATTTGGTTTTTTTGAGCCTGTTTTGTTAACTGAAATAGACCAACATCAAATGACAACAACGAAGCACTTTTGATCACTTTTTTAACTCAGGTATGTTTCGCTGCCGGGTAACTTTACTGGTGCTATCCCTACACTCAATCGATGCCTACAAATTCCTTGTCTACTCTCCCATATTTGGCTATTCTCATACGAACTTTATGGGGGTCATAGCAGACACCCTTACGGAAGCTGGACATGATGTGGTAAGCAAATTTTTTGTGTTGTCGTGGTTTCAATATGCGGCTCTGGGTTGCTTGCGCCTAGAAGGCCTAGGCCATCAAGGTATTGAACCTTCTTGGGTAAATTTCTAACAAAGGGAGTGTAAAACAGGTCAGACGGATTTCCTTCTCCGCCATCCCCTTTGAAAGTGCGGCTCGGAAGTGTACCGTTGCGCCCAATGAGGATTTCTTTGAGGGTTTGACTGGATGATTTGCAAGTGTGGCTGAATTCCTTGAAACAGAAGTGTGGGAATAGCCGTACAACTTGAACTGTCACAAGTAGGACCATTCTACGGGGGTTTATTGCATATTTCGGCTCTCTTTGCTAGTATGTGGGAGTTCAGCCCAGAAACCGCGAGTCATTTCATAATGGCTCTTTCTATGGGTTCACCATCAAACACATTTTTTGTTTTCCGCTGAAGCGAGTGATGGGTAGAGAGAAGGCGTCGCTTTTGGATGCTTTCTCTCCCCCCTCCCCCCAACCCCTTTCCTCCTGAAATGACAAAGGGCGGCCTGACACATGTCTTCATTATCTCAGGGCGGTCACTGATTCACACAGTTTTTGGCAGGTCTTCATTTAAAGGAATCACGGAATCAATTTTCTTTTTGTAGACAGTCTTAATGCCAATCATGGACAATGAAGAAGCACACAAGACTGGAGTGAAGTTGACAAAGAAAATCATCAAAACACCACCACATCCACGAGTTGAGGAGTGGATGGAACAAAAATCGGCCATGCTTAGCCAAATGTGGACAATGCAGCCGAGCGTTTTTTCGCTCATGCAGGTAAGGTCGAAGTTGTGTTACATTGAACGTATTTTCTCTAGGCATTCACTGCTTCCGGAAGTGAATGGGTGAAAGGACGAAGGGTTGGGGTGGTAGGAAAGGTGTCTTGTCTCGATCACATCTAATGTCCAAGTCCCAGCACAATTCATAGATGACACATTCACATTTTCGCTTTTTATTGACTTACCCTACGTAAGGACCATCCTCTTCCCTATCTCCAGCCCTACGTGATTTGGAATAGTGTGCGGAACGTTTTGATTGTGTGGAAAGGATCCTCTCTATGCTGATGAGGGCCCCCTTATATCTGATTCAGTACTGAAGAAACTCTTGAATACAAATCCTGTCTGTAGTTAAGCCCAACAGTTTCCGTCCTTTTTCGAAAAAATCAGTTTGGAGGCTAGAAAAAACTGTTTCCTCAAATGTAAGTGGGTGGTTTAAAAGCGTAAAAATAGAACGGCTCACAAAAAACCGCCTGTTCACTTGTAAAATTGATATGGTAAAAGCAAACAGTAAGAAATCCACATTAAAACAAGTTTTTTGCAAACTTCAATTTATTTTGCATTTCAGGCGGTACAAAATATGTCAACCTCATTCGCCGCCCAATGTGAAGGTGAGAGAAATAAATCACCTAACAATCGAGGTTTAAGAAAACTCGGGATCAAGAAAATGCCTAGAAATTGGTGTAGCCAGCTCCCTCGACGGCCATCTAACTGGGGTGGTTCAAATCTAGCCTCGTTGTAGATTCTCCTTGATCATCAGTTTGACTGTTTTTATGGTTAGAACCAAATGTCACAAGTCTCTGTCTACCCGGCCCTTGAAGGCTACACGATGTTTACCCACGGGGATATCTTCTTTCTGATACTAAGGAGTGATCAGCAGACAAGAGAGACACACTCTCTAAATTTTTCTAAATTAGATTTTATTCGGAAAACGAATTGTAAATATTGCGTAGAAATTTTAGAATGATAAATTTAGCTCTGATCACCAACGATGTCCTGATGAAGCAGTTAGCGGATGAGAAGTTCGACGTGGGTATTGCCGAAGCTTTCGG